TTTCAGAGGTTGGAGGGGTTGAAGTGGTGCCCAAGGCACCTGTTAGAGCCAAGCAGGTGTGTGTGGTGGGGGGCTGGTGCAGCCTGGCCCCCCAACTCACTGCACTGACCTTTTCTTTGCCCGCTAGACCCAGCGGCCAGGAGCCCCGCACTGGAGCGCTTCAGGGGCACGAGGTTTCCCCACTCTGAGGAAATGATGAAGGTGTTTCACAGGAAGTTTGGCTTGCACTGCTTCCGGACCAACCAGCTGGAGGCCATCAATGCAGCTCTCCTGGGTGAAGACTGCTTCGTCCTGATGCCCACGGGTGGGTGTCCCCACAGGTGCCAGGGCTGTGGGCTTCAAGCTGTGGCTCGCTCCTGACAAATAAGGCTCCTTTTGGGAGGCCCTTGACAGAATTCTCTCTCTCTCTCTATGCCCTTGTGGAGGTGCTGCTGGAATTCTGTGGCTGCAGGATTTGTGGCACGTTGTGTGCACTGGGGTATTTTGAATGAGGTGATTGAATTTCTGCCTTCTGTAATGTTTCACATGATAGCTTTTCCTTATATCAGACATCAAGGCAGTCACTGGTAAAAGCTGACTTCTGAAAATGCCATAAAATGGGAAGTAGGGAATCGTTCTGCCCTCCTCCAGACCCTCTCTCTTTCCCCTCAATACCTAAAGCTTGTTGTGTTCTGTTTAATCCTTGCAGGTGGTGGTAAGAGCTTGTGCTACCAGTTACCAGCGTGTGTCTCTGCTGGAGTCACCATTGTCATCTCCCCCCTGAGGTCGCTGATCATAGATCAAGTTCAGAAACTGAAGACTTTAGATGTGAGTTCCAACAGCTTTATTTAGTTGAAGTGCAGATAAGTGAATTAAAGATCTGAAATTTTACAGCAAACAGCAAAAGCTGCTGAGATGGGCACTGTGGAAGGCACACAGAGTTGTCTGGGAAGGACTAAACCAGCTGAACTAGAATATCCTGGCAGTCTAACTGCTAAATTTATTGATGGTCATGTGTATTTGTTATGGGTGCTTAGTTCTCAGGTGCAGGTGCCTGATTCTTGGGCTCTGAGAGCTGTATGTAGACACCTAAGTGGAGCAGCCTGGCTCAGCAGCAGCGAGGCACTAACAGCTCCTGTGCTGGGGGGTCCTGGCAGTGCTGAGCATTTCACTGAGCCACAGGATGGGCTTGAAGGGACCTTAAAGGTCATCTAGTTCCAGGCCCTGCCTGGGGCAAAACCACAGAGGTAGCTGGGGATATGGGACTGAAGGGACTCTGGCTCAGGGTTCTGAAGGTCAGACAAATCCTTCTCTCATCCAGGGCAGTTTTTGATGGCCTCACTAGACAGGGCCCTCAGGCAGTTCTCCACCATTTAGTGGCTGTTGCACAGCACTGTGCTGTGGCCACACTTGGCTCTCTCTGGTGTTGTGGCTCTTTAACCTGGCTCAGTGGCTCCTGGGGATCTGTAGCTGCAGGAGTCTCCTCTGCAGAGCTGCAGCTGCCGCTTGCCAGAGGAAGAGGAAACCACCAGGAGAACTGGCTCTGGTGCTGTGACCAGTTCTTACAGCAGTCTGGTCCTAAGGATCCCATTCCTTTGTCACTAGTAAGTTATGCTTTCAAATTTAATATTAAATCCCTGCTCCAAGTTGTAGCCCATCTCCTCCAATGCAGTGTTGTTCTCTGCTTGTGGGTGCTGGTATTGAATGTGCTACCAGTTCCAAGCAAGCAGACAAATCCCCTAAGCCTGCTGTTGGTTTGCTGGTAGAACTGGGAGCAGAAGAACACAATTCAGCTTATAGTCTTTTGGTTTTATCATTAACAGTTCTGTGATGTCTACAGGACAGTGGGGGCTCAAACGCTGTCTGTAACTACACCAAGCAGTGCTGAAAATGTGCTCGTTGAGGACAGTCAATGCATGTGCTTCATCTGCTTTATGACTACATGTAGGACTATAATTGGAGGTTCTTCTGGTTTGCACCTATTAAAACAATATATTTTTAAAATCTAGATTGCTGCAACATATCTGACTGGTGACAGAACAGATGCGGACGCCTCAAAAATATACATGCAATTATCAAAAAAGGACCCTGTAATAAAGCTGCTGTATGTTACCCCTGAGAAGGTCTGTGTTTAATCTGCATTGTGAAATCCTGGAGGCAGCAGGAGGAGGGTTACTAGGAAGTATTAAAGGGCAAACACAGAATGTAGAGCAGGCTTCTGGGGAAACAGGCTGTTAAATGTTTTTTAGATAATTCGGTAAGGCCCTGTACAGATAATTGCAATCAGTAATTAACCAGGAATGAGAACTGAGTATGTCTATACAATCTAAATTCTTGAAACTAAAGCCCCATGCCCATCCATTTTGCTATAGCTTACTGCAGATTAGTGGCTAATTGCTGTCAAGTAGCTGTTAGAACCTGGGCTACTACAATTAGGATAATTCAGGGAAAAAAATATGTAACTGTCAGGGTAATAGGTGATTGTCAAACGAGTGCCTTGTACTTAATTACATTCTGCCTTCAAAACTTAGGCTCTCCTGCTGGAGCTTTGTAAGAGGGGACTGTTCAGTGCAGTGATTCCTTTCCTTCAGCACTGTCTGCCATGGCATAAATCATTTAACTTGACTCAGATTTAAGACCTCTGGGTAGATGATCCCAGAAGCCTGTGGAAAACCCACACGAGCTGCTTGCCACCTTCTTTACACCTTCAGGCCTCCCCTGTGCACTGCAGATGAACTTTGCTGTTCAGAGCAGGGGGTTTTGGGGTCTTGGGTGGGGTGACCCCTCTCTCCCTTCCTTCAGCCCCTCATGCCCCTGCTGGCCCTGTGCCTAGGTGTGTGCCAGCAGCCGCCTGATGTCAGCCCTGGAGAACCTCTACGACAGGAAACTCCTGGCACGTTTTGTCATCGACGAGGCCCACTGTGTCAGCCAGGTGAGAACCTCTGGGGTGGCTCAGAGCAGCAGAAGCCTGTAGTTGGGAGATCTTGCTCAGGGGGTACTTACCTTTTGTTCTGCCTCCAGTGGGGTCACGATTTCCGCCAAGACTACAAACGCCTGAACATGCTCCGCAAGAAGTTCCGCTGCGTCCCCATGATGGCCCTCACGGCCACTGCCACCCCCAGGGTGCAGAAGGACATTCAGAATCAGCTCGAGATGCTCAAGCCACAAGTGTGAGTTGCTCTGGGGTTTCCTGAAACCAAATTGTTTGTGAAATTCGCACAAGTTTGGAGTGGAAGGCTGAGTGAAGTAAGCAAAGCCTCCCAGGGCCATCTGGGATCCTTCAGTAGTTGTGTCTGATGAAAAGAGAAGGGGTGGTTGGAATTTGATGGGAGTTATATGCAAAATATTAAAGGAAGAAAAAAGAAAACTTGCCCAGCTCTTCCTTGCTTGACTGAGGAAGGTGTTTAATAGGAAATGATGACAGGAGCTTTTCTGTGTCACTGGCAAAATGTGCACGTTGTATTTTAGGGTGCTTTTCCTGAGACTGCTGCAAAACTGCATAAGCTGGAAGAGTTTTTTAATTAGCATTGGCAGTGACCTAGCTAATGAGATACCCCTGGGCCTGTGCTGATCTGTAGGGTTTTCTACACAGCACTGTGTGGCTTGGGTTTGTTCACAGCCACAGGAAAATCCAGCGGCTTTAGACAGTGTGGGCAAGGTGGATCTGCAGGCACAGCAGGACAGTAACTCCTTAGCAGAGAGTGCAGAGCAAGCAGTGGTTGGCTGAATTTGGGACAGCCCAGGCAATACTGAGCTAGTTGAAGGGCTCTCTGCACCTGTATGAGCACCCACAAGCTGCTGTGTTTTAGGTTTACAATGAGCTTCAACAGACACAACCTGAAATACGATGTGTTACCCAAGAAGCCAAAGAAGGTGGCAATGGATTGCTTGGAATGGATTAAAAAATACCACCCCCGTGAGTACTGAGCAGCACCCTGTGCCTGCCTGCATTCATCAGCTACTTTTTAAGGCAGAAAAGCTTTTATAATGCTGTAAAAAATCAGACTTGTGCCTTTCTGTAAGCAACTAATATATTTTTATATATATAGGAAATTGGTTGCCCAGAGAGGTGGTCGCTGCCCCATCCCTGGAACCATCCCAGGTCAGGCTGGATGGGGCTCTGAGCACCCTGCTCTGGTTGCAGATGTCCCTGCTGAGTGCAGGGGATTGGACTAGATGACCTTGAAAGATCCCTTCCCACCCAAACCATTCTATAATTTACAAGAAAAACAAGTTGGAGGCAAAAATGGTAATATTAATAATGGGAATCAGATTTATGGCCGTCCTGAGGTTAAGAGTTCAGTTTAAGATGGACAAGTAGATTATGGGCTTGCTCTTGAGTAATCTTTCTGGAGGTTGCCAGACCTTTGAGCAGCGTATCTTCATAAGACATAAAGGGCATCCAATATCCAGACTGTCTTAACTGTTTCATTCTGGTGGTCTGCTTACCTGTGGCTCCCACTGATGATATCTTTAGACATTCCCATCTCTGCAGGCTCGGTTTTGTAGCCCTGCCTGCAGCAGGTTGACTTCCTCAGGTTCCCTTCATCCCTCATCCAGTGCTGTAACCTCATGTATCACTGACTGAACTTCTCTAGCTCTTGATTTCTGTAGCTCTTCCTTTATGTCTTTTAAATCCTAAGACTGCACAGTGGTGAGCAGGAAAAAATTTTTGGATTCCACCTCACCAAGAAGCCCTGGGGACTGGGTGAGGAGAAGCTGAGAAAAACATCTGATATTAACAAAATCACTTCCCTTATTAAGCAGTTATTACATTACACTTCCTAACCTCTCCCTATTGGAGTAAATGTGTCTGCTTGGCAGGTTTGACTGTTTGTAAGTGAAAGGGAATAAAGCAGTGTTGTAGCACAAAGCTTTTTCCTGTCTTTGCAGATGACTCTGGAATTATTTATTGCCTTTCACGCCACGAGTGTGACACCACAGCAGCTATTCTGCAGAAGGAGGGTCTGACTGCCCTCGCCTACCACGCCGGCCTCACCGACGCCAACAGGGACCTGGTGCAGAAGAAATGGGTTAATCAGGAAGGGTGCCAGGTAAGGGAGAAGCTACTGGGGAAAAAAGGGAATGGAATTGGGAGCACTTCAAAGGGAAGCTGGGTGACGTCACTGCCAGGCCGGGTCTTCAATTCAGGAAGGACCTTGAGGGGCTGGAGTGTGGCCAGAGAAGGGCAACGGAGCTGCTGGGGAAGGGTCTAGAGCCCAAGTGTGGGGAGGAGCAGCTGAGGGAGCTGGGGGTGCTGAGCCTGGAGCAAAGGAGGCTCAGGGGAGACCTTCTGGCTCTGCACAGCTCCTGACAGGAGCCTGGAGCCAGGTGGGGGGCGGGCTCTGCTCCCAAGGAACAAGGGACAGGACAAGAGGCAATGGCCTCAGGTTGCCCCAGGGGAGGTTGAGGTTGTCCCTGAGGAACAATTTGTTGCCCTGGAGGGTTGCCCAGGGCTGTGCCAGGCTGCCCAGGGCAGTGGTGGAGTCCCCACCCCTGGAGGGGTTTCCAAGCTGTGGAGATGTGGTGTGAGGGACACGGGGCAGTGGGGACCTGGCAGTGCTGGGGAGTGGTTGGACTGGATGATCTTGAAGGTCTCTTCCAACCAAAACGATTCTGTGATGCTCCAGGAGGAAGGAACTGAGCACTACAAAGCTTTTGTAATGGCTCTGGGCACGTTGCTGAATTGTACCCTGAGACTCCAGCCTGGAGTTCTCCTGTGCCCGGAGCAGCCCTTCCAGGAGAGGTGGTTTTGCCATTCTGTACTGGCCTTGCAGCTCTACAGTTGAAGTTGCAACTTCTGCAGAGTTTCATCCTCCTGGCTGCCTTTGGTGCAGAGGGCTGGGTGAGTAAGTGCTGGCAGTGACAAGTCCTTGCTCCCTCCCAGGTCATCTGTGCCACCATTGCCTTCGGCATGGGCATCGACAAGCCCGACGTGCGCTACGTCATCCACGCCTCCCTCCCCAAGTCCATCGAGGGCTACTACCAGGAGTCGGGCAGGGCTGGCCGAGATGGGGACATGTCTCACTGCCTGCTCTTCTACAGCTACAGCGACGTCACCCGGCTCAGGAGGCTCATCCTGAGTGAGTCCTGCCCCCTGGGGCCCAGCGGGGACAGCAGCGAGCGAGCAGCCAGCTCGTCGCTCGGGCCCTGGCTCCCTTCTGTTCCCACTGTGGCATTTTCTCCTGTGGGAGGAAGTTCTCCTGTTTGTCGTGTGGCACTGCAGCAGTGGGACAGCTGGGTGCCTTCATTTTATTTACCTGGATGATCTTTTGTAACAAATGATTTTCTGTTGCTCACACTTCATTCTAGTCAAACCTGGTTTGCTTCGTACGTATCTCTTGACTTTTGCCATTCTAGTCTTATTGCCCTTCCCCACTCTTTAAAATATTAGAGGTAAAATCTGTCCTAGCTCAGTTCTGTACTAACCTACTCATCTCTTTGTAAGCAAAAAAGAACTCTGTGTGTCTAGCTGATAGCATAAAAATGCAGAGGAGCAGATTGAGCCAATGCCATTGAATTTATTGCGTTTCAGTGGAGAAAGATGGGAACAGTCACACCAGGCAGACCCACTTCAACAACCTGTACAGCATGGTTCATTACTGTGAGAACGTGGTGGACTGCCGGAGGATTCAGCTTTTGGCCTACTTTGGGGAAACTAATTTCAATCCCACCTTCTGTAAAGAACACCCAGAAGTCATCTGCGATAACTGCAGCAGAAACAAGGTAAAGCTCAGAGCCCTTATTTACAGTGTTGAGGAACTGATTTTGCATTTAGCTGCATTAAGAAAGAGTTAAGTGACATTTGGGAAGACAAAGGGAGAAAATTATTAAGATCTCTTGTATTTTTCTGTTGCTTGATGCTTGGAATTATTCCCAGGGTTTGACCTGGAGCAGAATTACACAGACTACTCATGGACTTAGGATGTGCCTGTTTCTGCCCAAGCAGGACTGGTGAGGTGTAGGGATCCTCCTTGGTGTGGATTTTCTTGGCTACAGCACTTGCAGGAGGCAGGAGATGATGGAAGATCCCCTGGAATGGCCATGGGGGATCCCCAAAGATGAGGGTTTGGTTTGTGCATCAAGGATCAGAGCAAACTTGTTAGTGGTGTGAGCAGGAGTGGAGCAGAAGGTGGCTGCTGAAGGGAAGGGTGGCTGCTCTCTATATAACCAGATGAGTTTCATACCCGAGGATGCTGCTCCTCAGTCCTGCATTTACCTTGTGTAGCTGGGTTTGTAACAAAAACTGACGAGAATAACGTGTCCTGTCTCCTCAATCTGATGTGGATTGGAAGTGTAAGTTCAGAGCATGGCAGCAGGATAATTACAGGAACACTTTCCAATTACCCTGATTACCAGAATCCACCCAGCACCCTTGCAGCTCACTCCGTGGAGTAACAGCAGAGATTGCATCCAACTCCTTGGTGGGTATTATTGCATTGCCTGGAGTGTTATCCAATCCAGGATTCCTGTGACTCTGTTGTATCAGTGTGGGTGTACTAACTAGAAAATCACAATTCCTTCACTTGAAAGGAAATGAATCCATGACTGGAAAAAGCTCCATCATGAAACCCAAGGCTGTTGGTAACAACCTGTGTGAGGACAGAACCCCATAACTTCATTTCCTAATTAAGTCTGTTTTAACAGGATTACAAATCAAGAAATGTAACAGATGAGGTGAAGAGCATTATAAGATTTGTACAGGAGCATTGTGGACAAACGAGACGAATTAGTGCCAAGGGGAATACAGGTTCTGGAAGATACACATTGAATATGATGGTCGACATTTTCCTCGGTGAGTTCCATTCTCACAGAGACAACAACAGACTCGGGGCAGTAATTCCTGACTGTGTACCAGGAGACCTGCACAGGAGCAGCAGTGGTTTAAAAGAAGAACTATTTTGCAAAATTATTCTTCCCAGGGATCTCTTGGTGGTAAATGAGCCAAGCTAAATGAGACCAAAGCTTTAATCTGTTTTGGGTTGCTGTAGTGATAGTGTTATTTTTCTGGTGGGGCTTGGAGTTGGTGCTGAGTGAAGGTGGTTGTTTTAAGTGCACATATGATGGAATGCCCTTGGGAATCTTCCACAGCTCTGTGAGTACATTTGTACATTGTCTTCCGGCTGACAGGCTGATCCCATGATTTCTGTCACCCAGGTAAGACGAGTGCGAAGATTCAGTCAGGAATATTTGGGAAGGGAGCTGCCTACTCGAGGCACAACGTTGAAAGGCTGTTCAGGAAGCTGGTCTTGGACAAGATTCTGGATGAAGACCTGTACATCACGGCCAACGACCAGGCTGTAGCCTATGTGATGCTGGGAGAGAAGGCTCAGGCTGTGCTGGACGGGGCACTACAGGTCTGTAGCAGTTGATTTCTTTTGTTTTCCTTTACTGTACTCTTTTAAGGAACATGCTACAGGTTTAAAGCAATATATACCCTAGGACAGCTTAAAAGTAGCTTGCCTACCAGCTGAAGTACAGGAACAAATCTGTAGCATACACAGGGAACAGACTCTCACAAGCATGGCTTGGAGTCCAGTATTTTAATAATGTTGTGAGACAAAGGTAAATGTGAGAGGATTGGGAGGATTAAATCTTTCTCCTCTCCCCCCATCCATCTGGACAAGGAGGGGAAGTTCTGACCAACACAGAAAAAGCTAGCTAAGGAAAGAAGGAGCAGTGCTCCCTTCACCTGCATTTTCTGCTCTATTCTTTTTCCAGTCATTGGTGAGCTCTGTTGGAAAATGTACTTCAAGAAAGTCAGGGAACCAGCCCCTGAACTGCTTGGGGTGACGTCTCCTCTGCATTGCTGCAGTGATTGGGGAAGAGCAGAGCCCTCAGCATTACACCCAGTGACCTCTGTTTAAAGCTAGCTGTGAATTGGCTTCTTGGGACTTTTTTTCCCTGTGTGGTGTTTATTCTGCTAGTTCTGTGTAGATGAAACTGAGGAAAGGATAAGTAGCCTGTAAAAAAAAAAATATATATATATTTAAAGTGTATACTGGAAAAATAGGTTTTTTTTGGTCCATCAAAGTATACTTTGAATCCTTCACCATTTTCATGTGTTATCAATCGATCTGATGATGGCTCTGCAGTCAGTCCCTGCCAGAAGTTGCTGATGGTTGTGTCTTAACAGGTGGAGTTCCATGAAACAGAAAGTGCCAGTGCCATCAGAAAGCAAAGGGCTTCCATGGCAAAGATGTCCCAGCGGGAAGAGATGGTTAAAAAGTGCCTTGGGGAACTTACAGACACGTGCAAAATGCTTGGGAAGGTCTTCGATGTGCATTACTTCAATATTTTCAATACTTCAACCTTGAAGAAAATAGCAGGTGATGTCAGCTTTGGGTCCCTCAGCACCCCTTTGGCTGCAGACCATGTGTGCAGCTGCAGCCTTTCCTGGCAGGAGAGCTGCAGTTCCCAACGTCGAGCACCAGCAGGTTTGAGGACACAGAGCTGAGCGAGTCCTGTGGAGTGGCTGACACAGCACAGGTTCCTCAGAGCTGCAGTTGGTGCTGTGGCAGTCCTGTGGGATAGGTACAAGAGCCACCCAAGCCATCCTAGAATCAGTTTGGTTGGAAGAGACCTTTAAAATCATCAGGCCCAACCATCCTCCAGCACTGCCAGGTCCCCACTGCCCCGTGTCCCTCACACCACATCTCCACAGCTTGAAAACCCCTCCAGGGGTGGGGACTCCACCACTGCCCTGGGCAGCACCTGGCCCAAACCTCCTGTCAGGGAGTCATCAAGAGAATAAATTTGAAGAACTGTCAGAGAAAATTCATAGAATCATAGAATCCATAGAAAATTTTTGGGCTAGTTTTTGTGCTAACCAACTTAGCAGCAAATCTGCTGGAATAAAGGCATGCTGCCTGAAGGACTTAATGCAGAGTGGCACTAAAAGGAATTAATTTCCTCCAAAACACTCCAGCATTGCCTCTCTTAAAAAAAAAAAAGTTCATTTGTTTGACATGTCTAATTGGTACTTTGTCACATTACAGAAACCCTGTCATCTGATGTGGAGATTTTACTGCAGATTGATGGTGTCACAGAAGACAAACTGGAAAAATATGGTGCAGAAATAATTAAAGTGATGGCTAAGTACTCGGAGTGGACCCTACCAGGTTTAGTGAACTTTGTACCTAAGTGTGTGCTCCCCTTTACCCTTCTCTGCTCCTCTGTCAGATGCTTCACTCAAAAGTTACCTGGTTTTAAGTACAGTTAACTAATTGTAACAGTTTAATAACTACCAAAAGGAAGCAATTTTACATTTTTCAGAATATACAAAGGTCTTTGCAATGATAGAATCCCAGACAGGTTTGGGTGGGAAGGGACCTGTCAAGGTCACCCAGTCCAGCCCCCTGCAGGGAGCAGGGACATCTGCAGCTAGAGCAGGGTGCTCAGAGCCCCAGCCAACCTCACCTGGGATGGTTCCAGGGATGGGGCAGCGACCACCTCTCTGGGCAGCCTGGGACAGGGGCTCACCACCCTCACAGTGAAGAATTTATCTTCTTGCTAGTTAAATTCATCATGAAAGGCTGAAAAAGGAAGAGTGGAAGTAAGCAGAAGTAAGTGGAGTGTTCTGCTCCAAACCTATTAGTTAGTTAGGATTCTGACCTTCAGGTTAAAGGTCTTGCACCTCCAGCATGTTTCTCCCCCTGCACCCACTCTGCAGGGGGTGGGTACCATTGTGGCCAGGCAGATAACCAATAACTACTGCTCTTTATTTCTCATTGTGATTGAGGTCAGCATGTTCAGGGCTTCCCCAACAGCCCTTGCTCAGCGTGAGGAGCTTTCAAAGCTGGGTGTGCAGGGGCTGTGGGGTCGGGACAGTGGTGTCCTCACAGTGCCTGTGCACAGCTCTAACACCCCCACCCCCCAGGGTCCAGCTCGGTGGAGAACTGAGCCCCCAGACAGGTCAGTCTGGTGACTCTGAGCCCAGCGTGGGCCTGGTGTTGTAATGAGGGTGTTGAGCAGCCTGGCTTCAGGGTTAGACACGGGCCCTGTGGCTTTCCTGTGATTCCTGCTCATGTTTAAGGTGTCTGTGCTGCCAGCACTGCAGTGGCTGCAGACCTGACTTTTAGGTATTTTATTCTACTGCCCATGCACAGAGTCACATCCCTCTTGGTCGGGGCTGCCTGGAAGGAGCTCTGGGCTCTCTCAGCCTTCCAGGGACTCCTGATGCCCTGTTTAAATGAATGACTTCTTTGACTGTGGTATTTACTGTCTGTTCCACAGTTCTTCCCAGCTGACAAGGGGAAAGGCAGAAAGCCCAGTGTTACCAAGGTAGTTCAGACAAGAAGCCAGGCTAGAGAAAAGCAGACTGGCCAGTATTCTGTTATGTCATGAGAGAAACCCAAACTGCCTCTGTCCTTGCTTCACACCAGTCTCCTTTAGCTGGGCCCAAAGCATCAGGGGGATGAAGGCAGAGCAGAGGAGGTTCTGAAGAGCAAGGATGGGTGTTTTGGTGGCAGTGCAGTCGCTGTGTTCCGGCTGATGGTTCTGACTGGCCTGGGCAATGTCTCAGTGCTGTTAGTTTTAACTCACTGTCTGTCTGCAGAAGATGCCACCTGCCCCAGCGTGGACACAGCCACGGGGAGCACCAGCACTCCTGAGAGCGGCGAGGAAGCACAGGAGGCAGTTACAACCTCCAGCTATTTTTCAAATAAAGCAAACCAAAGGAAGAAAAGGAAAAGGCCACCCAACTTCAGAGAATCAAAGAGGAAGAAGATGAGCAGTGGTGGCAACCAGCAGTTCCACCCCAGAGGGTAGGTTGTTTGCCATCTTGGTAACTTTCTTTTGCCCAGAATATGTGGTGCTGATCCCAGAGTTGCACTGGTAGGTCTCCTACTGCATTTTCTTAAGAAATACCAGACTGTCACAGGGTGAGGAAAGAGCCAGGCTGGGCCTCTGAGTCTGTGACCTTGTTTTACCTTTGAGTCCATGACCTTGCTCAGAACGCTCCTAACAGGGTCTCCAAAACATGCTGTAGAATCCTCACAGGGAGTGAGTCACGCCTAAACTTTAACCCCTGTTTGGTTTTATTGGTGGTGTTATTGGTTTTTACATGTCCCTGCTTTAACAATGTGCTCAGGATTGAAGAGGAAACGACGTCTGACTTGAAATTCAACCTTCTGAAGCTCTCTGGCTCTGTCTGTCCTTCCCAAGCACGTCTCCTTCTCTGCCCTGTGTTCTCTCAGTCTGGTGGTGTTTTTTTTGTAGCAAAGAGCAGTCCTCACCTCAGCAGATTTTACTCCCACCCTTTTCACCTTCCTAAAAGGCTGTTGACCCCGAATTGCCACTTGATGTTGACAATCTAATCAGATTAACCTCGAGGGGTTGGCTCAGCATTCCCCAGCCCTGTCTCGGGCTGCTCCTTGCCTGTAGGCAAATGCCAGGGAAGCAGCTACACTTGATTTGCATTTCAAAGGTATTTTAGCAGCCATGTGTATTTAAAAAATATATTAAATTTAAAAATGAAAGCATAGCCTAATAGAAAATCTGATGATGGTGCATCTGTGGGTGCAGGGAGTGGGGCAATGAGCATTGGACAGGCCTCTGAACTCTCTCTGAATCTTGCAGGGGCTACAGCAAGTTCCGGAGGAGCAAGCGGCCGGTCAGCTCCCAGGCTGCAGTGTCCTGCAGCAGCAGTGCCCTGCAGGGAGCTGCCGGCAGGCTGGGGATTATGGCACCACCAAAACCCAAAACCAGACACTTCCTTCAGCCCTCATACTCGGTACTGTAAGGAGGAAGGCGTAAATAGTGTATAAAAACCAGCCCCGAGGATGTAATCATTGTTCCTTAAATTTGTTTCATTTTGCTAAACCTTCTGAGACTTGTACATTTGTCAAGTGCAAAAACTTGCATTAAATAAATGTTTTTAAACTCATGAGTTTATTTGGACCTCTCTGCTACAAACAAAGAGAGCTTTGGCTGCTCCTACGAGCTCTCCAGGCCAGTGAGAACAGCCCCTGTGAGCTGCTTCACAGCCACCCTGGAGGTGTGCCCCAGAAGCAGATGGAAACCTGTGTCCAGGAGCTGTGCTGCTGTTCTCCTCCCTTGCTGCATGCCTGAGAAGTTCAGACCTCCAGCACTGAGCTGTTCTGGACAGGTGAGGCTTCGGGTGCTCACAGGAGACAGGAAACAACCAACTCTTCTATGTTTCAGGCTTTATTCCCCTGGCCCTGGGGCTGGAGGGGCTCTGGGTGGGCCCTGCCCCATGTGTGCCTTTAGTCATGGGTTTTTTTGCGTGGTTGGTTTTTTTAATATGATGTACCAGAGCCATGGGGAAGGGCATCTGAGCAGCCCTCAGCTCCTGCAGCAGGTAGCCCTGGCTGAGGGGCTGAGCCGTGCCCAGCTCCACCCCCACGCTCGCTGGACCCCTGCCCCGGGTGCAGCAAGGGTCTCAGGAGCTGCTGCTGGGCCACAACACTGCCAGCTGGCCTGGAGCGTGCTGTGACCCGTCCTGCCAGCAACAGACCCTTCAGACCGTGCTGATTCATCTGTTAAAAATGTTCACTTTTTCTCTCCTGCGTATGCCAAGCTGCAGCATGCATGCAGAGCACAATTCCATCGTGCCAGGATGGCATCCAGGCGGGTTTGGAATCTTGCCAGAGGAGCCTCACAGCCTCTCTGGGCAGCTGCTCCAGGCTCGG